AACTCCAGCGGCTGCCCCAGGTGCCTTATGTGGGATTCAGACGGTGATCTTCAACCCATCTAGAGCATCTTTCACTTGAAATGACTTCAGCTATGACTTGGGAGGGCTATAAACACCATGGATGGAATGACTGAATTGTGTAAAGGTGACAAGGGCAACAGTTTGCTATGCCGGAACCAGTAACATAGGCTCCCTGGAGGTGACTGCCCACATCTCTTCCACTTCCAGCAGCAACCGTGCCACACTAACTGCCCATAATTAGCAGGTGCTTTAATCATTTAAAAAAAATGTCTGCATATTGTGATGTTTTGATATCTTAAAAAAAAAAAAAACAAAATCCTTTCTGAATGGGGAGAGACTGCTGTCCCAGGATCAACCAGTTCTTAGAGACAGCAAAGGGCTGGGCTGGGAGCTTGCCCCTGGGATGCAAGGTAATCAATTCAGAGCCTACCTCCTATGTCCAGGTGCCCTGGGAGGCAGCAGTTCTCTACTTTAACTGGCCAGCCCAGGTCCCAGAGTAGAGACCACCTCTATAGCCCAAAGCCCACCGAAATTATTCACTCTAGCCAGTCCTAAACTGTTTCTCTGCCTTGCCTTTCCTGAGGAAGCTGCAGGGAAGGCTTCTGACCTAGGCTTCTTCTTGTTCTTGCTTCTGCCCCTTGACTGCAGCCTGGGTTAATTCCTATGGCCCCGTATGATGAGCCACGCTTCTCACTTGTAGGGAGAGTGTGAGTAACATTAAACTTTCCTTTCAATAGCATTGACCTCTGCATATTGTCACTCAGTCACCTTTATAAATTAAGGCCAGGGCACAGAGTGCTGGAAATGGGCAAATGGTACACATCAGACCTCCCTCCAGCTCCCAGAGAGCTGGCATACTAGCACACCTCAGGTTACATGTGTGTGCAACTGTGCATGTGCCATGGATGTTAACACTCCAATAACAGAGCCACTGCCTTCCTCACCTGGCAGTAGAGCTCCAGGAGTGGGTGGATTGACACACAGGAGGAACTCAATAAATTTTTGTCAAATGAAGGCATGGATTAACCCACAAAATGCCCAAGTTGTAGCAAAGAAAGACATTAGCTAAAATGTTGAACGTCAGTTAGGAGCTGAGACAGTGCCTGGAGGAAAAAGTATCTGTAATTCGTAAGTAAAAGCCATCTATTAAGGCAAAGGGCCAATGGCCTTGAAATATAAGTGTGAAGTCTCCAGAGACAGAGTCAGGTCCTGCACTGAGTGAGTCTGGCAGCTAGACTTCTGGAAACATCCAACTGCACAGATCAGCACTCCCCAAGTGGAGAGGAAGCATCCACACTAAGTTTGAAATTGCAGGAGCAACTTTTTAGAATCTGTTCTTGTGACAACAAGCCCAGAGAAGCCCTTTAACTTTGTGTGGATGGAGGTCCCCCCACCTTTTGGCTATGCCATGTAGGCCAGAAGCTGAGGAAAACCCACCAACCTTTTGCCTCTCGTTCCCCTTTATTTTTTCTCTCCAGGGGAGGTGAGTTAATGATGGGGTTTGGCTTAGGCACAGGGAGGATATGTGACATATAAGAGATGCTAAAAGGGGGACACCTGGGTGGCTCAGTGGTTGAGCATCAGCCTTCAGCTCAGGGCATGATCCTGGGATCCTGGGATCGAGTCCCACATCAGGCTCCCTGTGGTGAGCCTGCTTCTCCCTCTGCCTACGTCTATGCTTCTCTGTGTGTGTGTGTCTCTCATGAATAAATAAAATCTTTAAAAAAAAGAGAGAGACCCGGGCAGTCTGGGTGGCTCAGCAGTTTAGTGCCGTCTTTGGCCCAGGGCCTGATGCTGGAGACCCGGGATCGAGTCCCACTTCAGGGTCCCTGCATGGAGCCTGCTTCTCCCTCTGCCTGTGTCTCTGCCTCTCTCTCTGTTTCTCACGAATAAATAAAATTAAAAAAAAAAAGAGAGAGAGAGAGAGACCCTAAAAGGGTTCTGGACACAATTCTAGTGTGTGTGTGTGTGTGTGCGTGGTGTGTGTATGTGCGTGTGTGTGTTTTCTGCACATATCCAAGCAATTCTCCAATGCTAGCTGGGATCATATAATCCTCTTTCTCCCCCAAGTTTTTATTTAAGTTATGGGTGTCCTATAATTCAACTCAGTTAAAGGTTGAGTTGATCCACAAGTCAAGGACTTAGTCTCCAAGGCTGACCACTACCCCACTACCCCAATCCCTGTCCTGTGCCTATTCAGATACCAACCCAAGTCCAGGGTGTCACCTGTGTTTCTGACTGGCTATAGATAGATTCCAATGGCGCCTTCTTGGGCTTGATTAATTTATTAGAGTGGTTCACAAAACTCACAGAAACATTATTTTAAATATTTTGTTTTATCATAAAAGAATATAATCCAGGAACAGACTGATAGACAAGATGCATAGGACAGGGTATGGGAAAAGGACATGGAGCCTCCATACTCCTCTGGAGTGCACAGCTTTCCCCAAATCTCCACATGTTCACCAACCTGGAAGCTTCCTGAACCTGGTCTTTTTTGCTTTTTTATGGAGGGTTCATTACCTGGGCACAGCTGATTAGCTCATTGGCCACTGGTGGTTGATTCAACTTCCAGGCTCTCTCCCCTCCCCAGAAATCAGGGGGTGCAGCTGAAAGTTCCAACCGTCTATTCTTGGTTGGTTCCCCCGGCAACCAGCCCCCACCCTGAGGTGCTTTCCAAACCACCTCATTAACATAAACTCTTGAAGGGGCTGGTTATGAATAACAAGACACCCATTTCACCTTCCTGGCTGTGAAGCAATTTCAGAAGCTGAGTACAAGAGATCAGAATTATGACAAAAGATGCTTCCACTCATCTTCTTGCTCAGCAAATTCCAAGGGTTTGGGGGACTGTGAGCTAAGAACCATGGCCAAAGACCAAATATATATGAGAAATGTATTTTGGTCATCTAGATGACCTGGATTTCTGATAACTCTAGATCTAGATTTCTTATAAATCATAATGCTGCAGATGCTATAACGTCTTCATTTTGTTCTTGATTGCTAAGTAGCCCTGAGTCAAAACTCCAGTTAAAAAAAATAGAACCCTATAAATGGTTTTGGAAATTCGAGTACAATGCAGCTGATATGGAAATTGGCTAGCCAGGACCCCACCCTGGACCCTTCCCTCTGCGAAGCCCTTGAAACTCCCTCTCTTTGGTGTTGGAGGTTGTTTCTTGAACCTGGAGCCTTGGGGGGCATCCTACACTCCACCCTGTAGGATGCTGATGGCACCTCTGATGAGCCCATGTGTGTAATTCTCTCCATGGCTGGCCTTTCCCTGGGGCCCCTGCCCTCTCCCCTAACCTCCCACGCTGTCCCACCTCCCTCCATCCAGGGAGACCATCTGTGTTATCTCCTCTGATCCTGACCTGTCTCAGCTTCCTCAAGTTCCTTTCTGGCCTTTTGCCAGTTTCCTTCCACAATTTATAGTCAAGTCTTCCAGAGTTAAAGCAATCTGTATTGTTTAAGAAAGCAATGCTTTCCCACAAAAAAATGTCCATTAGAATAAGATCTGGGAATTCCAAGGGCTGACCAGGTGGGTGGGTGGAGAGAAGAAATTCAGACCAGATTAGGGGAAGCATCTTGAGGAGGCGGTGACACTTAAGTGTTGAAAGATAAGCTGTTTTGGGAGGGGGTCAGCTCTGGACTGCGCACAGCCACCAGGAAAGTCCCTTTAGAAGGGGCATGGTCTGTACGTGGGACCTATTTCAGTCTGTGGCCTCCCATGGATTCAGGGGAAGCCTCCCCCTTGCTAAGGGAGACAGCTGAGTCTTGAATAGGCTTTGAGTGGCCTGGGAAGGGTGCGGAGATGTCCCAGCGACAGAGAATCTTACTCCCATTTTGTGGGTGTGGATCATTCCCAGTGACATGGGAGTTTGACTCCCTTCTCTTCCACTGGGGAAACTGGGTGCCTAACTGGGATGGGTCTGCTGCCAGCGTAGCATAGGAGAAGAAGGAGTCGTGTGTCATGTCTGACCGCATGGTCTTGGGACAGAATGGGCAGACACACAGCCGCTGGCCTGAGCTGGGTTTGCCAGAGGCCTGTGCTTCAACAGAGCTGTTTCTGAGCTTCTACCTCGGGAAACAAACTTGCCAGGCACCCAAGGGTGTCCTCGTCCAGTCACCTAAAGCTCATGAAGAAAAAATGTTGGGTGGAAATGCAAGATGTAACCAAACTGCAAGGTACAAAGTAGGCCCCGGGGTGGGGAGGAGGTCAGTGCCCCTGACCCCATGGGCCACCGCCCCAGCCTGTCACTTGTTCTATCAGGAAGCTTGAGGTAGAGAGTATAAGTAGCTCAAGACAAACTCACGGCCACTACCTGGGACGTACCTCGCTAGGACCCCAGTGTGGGGCTTCTGAATGTTGCTGAGCATGTCCTAAGCAAGCTGGGGTGTGAAGGCTCCAGGGAGAGGCTGGCGGGCTGCCAGAGTCCTGAGGACCTGGACACTGTGCTCTCGATGCCCGCAGCTCTGGGCCTTTCCCTCCTACAGGGCTTGCTCACTGGAATGTGGGTCATTTACCACGGATCGATAAAAAGGCTGGGACCAAACCTCACCCCAGGCTTCCAGGCCAGTGAGAAGTGTGGAATTGTGCAAATATACCACACTCCGAAGCCCAGACATACACAACCTGCCTTCCAGGCTTCTTATCCAGATATTCTGGACCAAAAACCAGGTTTAGAATGGGAATTGCTCACAGTTTTAGGATTTTCAAGTGGTCCTTGTGGTCAGAAATTGCTTGGGAGGAGTTGCGTGTGCTGTGTGCAAGGGAGAGAAGGTGCTCGAGCAGCATGTGTGGAAAAGGTGGCTCCTTCTGCTTAAAGAGACATAAAACCTCTTACAGGCTAGCACCAGCCATGAACGCAGGAATGAGAATTGCTCCAGCAAGGCAGGAACATAATCCAGACACATCTAGAAAAATTCAAATTATTTAATGTAAACTCTTCAACAGAAATAAAAGGCACGCATTGCAAGGCTGTCTGTACAAGGACATTTATTGTTTGCAGTGGCGAGAAACTGAAGCCACCTGAAGGGCCATCAACAGTAAGTGATTGAATCAACCAGGGTCCATCTGTATTAGGGACTATTACACAGTAATTTAAAAGGACAAGTTAGCTCACTAGCTAGCTGTTGAACTGATGCAGCATTAAGTCACAGAGGCAAATTGCTTCAGGGATACATGTGATAGGTACAATTAGGGTATTTTTTAAAAGAGCAATCAAATTTTAAAAAACCCTCCCTTATATACCTAAGCACAGTGAAAATGTGGAGGCTACAGATCAGCAGAAAGGAGGCATCAGATGGGTTGGGGAAAGCAGGAATTAAACATCATAGAAAAATAGGAAAAAAAAAAAGGACAGAATAAAGTTCAGAGAATATCTGGAATATAAAAGCTCATCTATGGTATTATTGCAAATATGTACATTTGTATATGCAAATGGATAAGGCCTGGGAGGTAAGAGAGCAGAGTGAAAACAATGACTTAATCAGATTTGGGAAAAAAAAAAAAAAGATTTGGGGATTGTGGGCAATGTGTTGTTCTGGATTTCTGTTGTAATTTGAATGTTGAAAGTCAACACTAGGAAGGGCCAACAAAGTGATGGTGAAGTTATTCACCTTTAAAATGATCATATCAAGAAGAGTTCAGATGTCCCTCTCAATGTCTTGCACATGGTAGGTGCTCGACAACCTTTGGCTAAAGTGAAAAACCAGACCCACAGAGCCTCCCCCGAACCTCCTAATTAGTAACCAACAGCCAGGATGTTCCAGCACTGGTAAGGAGTCTCAGTTAAAAGCTTCAGGAATCAACTTTGCATTTGAATCACCAGATACAAATTCTCTTCACGCCCCACTAGTATCTGGTTTCTGGAACTGTTAATGAAATGAGAAAAGACAGCAATTATAGAAATTGTATTACATTATGGCCTGTGTTCACCTAAGAAATGAAGTCATTTTGCTTATGTGGCTGTGCCTGCCCTTTTGTTTAAAATCAGCGGAGTGAGACTTAAAATTTCAACATCAGCTTATAAGTTGCTTCTTCCTTCCTTTCTTCTTTCCTTTCTTCTTTCCTTCCATCTCTTTTCTTTTTTTTCCCCATCTCTTTCCCCCCCTGTCTTTCTTGCTATTGTTATTGTTTAAAAAATAAAAATAAAAAACCGACATGCAAGAGATAAACTCTACATGGTCTGTACTTTTATCTGGGGGTCTGCTCAGGAATTCAGCAGGGTTGTGAAAGCAGGTGGTGAGTGTGGTGCTGGCGGTGCAAGAACTGAGGCCTTCTGGTATCCTCCATCCCATCCTTCAACACTGAATCAGGGCAGGGTGGTCCCCAGGCCCCTGGGGGAAGGCTGCTACCCTGGGCTGCCTGCCCCCAAGTCCTCCACTGCCTTTCTATGTTAAAACCTTCCCGAGTATCCTTGAGAAAAACACTGATAGCAGTGGAGGCTCAGAACAAGAGGTACCGTTATCAACATTCATGTGTTAAACTACTTAGGATAAACTGTTGAGAATGAACATTGCCACCCACCTTCAGATTCTCTTTAAAGGAGAATTGATAGCATTCAGGAGTTCGTACATCCAAATATGGTTCAACAATCCTTGGGGGATCTCTAAGAGCACCTCAGAGGGTCTGTGGGGGCATCTTAGAGCATTAGATTCATTATTCGTATTTAAGCCATATTCATATTTTGTGATATATACTTATAACTAGTATTACTTGCCAGTATGAGGGAATTCTTTGTTGGAGCTCCCTAAAGACATGGTTTCCTTTGAACCTTTTTGGCAAGGAATTATTTTTTATAGTGATAAGTGGGTCACATGGGATGACCCCCAAAGTGGTGGTAAAAGAACAGCTAGAGATCCAGCGCAGAACCTGTGTAAAAGGAGTAGAGCTAAAGATTCTCATATGCATGTGCATGTAAAGATACATCTAGCACGGGGGCAACATTGCAAAACAAACACGTCATTCAAGAATACTTTCTCAAACCCAAGTGGTATTGCAGAGAGGGGAAGAGCAAACACTTATCCTTCTTGTGGAAGAAATCTTTGTGCAGTAGACGTATCCCGTGGTGGCTCTGGGGGTGCTCTGGGAACCAGCCTGGCAAGATGGCCTTACACCATGGTTTCTGGTCCTCTGTCCTGCTTCACTTCTCTGTTCTTTGAATTCCTTTATTACATCTTAGTTTAATTAGAAGAATTGAACAACCTGCCAGGAACAAGGTATCAGGATACATGGAGATCAGCTCAGGCCTAGTGTGGGTTCCATGTTTGGTTGGACACCTGGGTTCAGATTTGGGCCTCGAGGGCGGTCAGGGATCACAGGGCAGCTCTGGGATCGCACAGAGCGGAAGATCTGGAGTTGGACAAGCCAGGAAGGAATATTGGCTCTGCTACTTTCTAGCCGCTTCATTGCCTGAGCCTTAGTGTCCTTGACTGCACGTGGGGATAACACCTGCCTCTCGGAGGGGTTGGGAATACTGTGGAGCGTGTGGCCTGGTCCCTGGTGCGTTCTCTTCTCTGTTCACTGAACATTTATTTGTTGCAGAGTGCGACATGCCAGGCACTACGGGGGAGCCGAGAAGGCAGAGACTGACAGGCCGCCCTTGGGAGAGCCTGCGTGCACACACATTTACCCCCCACAAACAGGTACCCCAGGGAGTCCTCGCCAGTGCCGCTTGAGGCCCTGACGATCCCTGATCTTTGGTACCTTGGGGACACGTGGGGGTCTGGGCCTGGCGGGGAACTGGGAGACCCCAGCGGATGGCTCACCCCCTCATCCCTGTGGCCGCCGGCCCGCCTGCAAGCTTATTTCACGATAAACCAAATGAAAGCCAGCAGGCAGAGCAGCACGGGCTGGTCTCCGGCCACCCGGGGCCCGGCTCCCCTCTCCAGCCAAAAGTCACAGCGCTTGACAGAGCAGAGCTCTCTGATCAGCTGCCACAGGACCCGCTGGTAAAGCTTGTTGTCCTGCTTCTCGCGGGACAGCTCCTCCTGGTTGGCCACCTGGGTGGCGTTGATGCAGCCGGTGACAAACTTCTCCTTCGTCACGTTGGCCTCGGAGCAGCCGTTATAGTGGATGCCGTCGGGGAACTGCCAGTAGTTGGCCTCGTAGTACCTGTTGCCCTCGGGCCCGAGGTCGATATCCAGCTTGCGGCCTTGCCTGATGAAGGCTCCAGGGCGGATCTCGGCCGAGTGCGCCTCGGTGACCTGGGAGGTGCTGGGCAAGGCCTTCCGGTTCCACTTGATCCTGTGCTTTATGCCCCTGGCCTCGACTGCCGAGAGCTGGCTCAACAGCAGGACACAGACAATGGCCAGCCAGCATCCGCCCAGGTGCTTCCTCATCGCGTCAGGATCTGCAGGAGCAAAGGCTCGGGGCAGTTACTTTCTCCCCTGGGCTGGTGGGGGGTGGGTGGGGGGTGTTCCCGGGGTTCCCCTGACCCTCTCCTGTGTACAGGCCATTTTAAGCAAGGAATGCATTCTTGTGCCATTCACATTTTCCCAAAGCATAATAGTTTTCCCGGGGCTCGGGGTGCACGGGCTAAGTCAATACCGAGGTTCTTGCTTTTGCCTGGAATTACGTACATTCAGAGCAGAGATCTGGTTTTCTCAGATAGATAAGAAGCTGCACCTGGCAATTATAAAGCCTTTGAATAGGCATGGGAAAATAAATGAGTGATGATATGATACGTAAAGCTTTTCTTTGGTGCTCCCAAGTCTTTCTAATGGGGGGGATCTCTGGAGGAGAGTACACAGAGCAGTTGGAACCACATTCTGTGCACGGGCTCTATCGTTAATCTTCCTTCTTTATTCTGTTGCTCTAAGCTGGCACTGTCTCTGGCACATTCTGCTATCCATTCTGGGAAAGTCACCTGCTGCGGGCACTAAAGGGCTCTATGGTAATGATAGAGAGAGAGAGAGATGGAGGTGTGGTCAGGAGAAACTTGCTTCCTTCTGTGTCGGTGAGTCAAGATGTGCTATAGATGTGGCTCCCAGTCTCACCCTGGAGACAGTGTGACCCCCACCCTCCCCCTCACCCAGCACTTACTATGCATCAGCCACTGGCATTGGCTAACTTAATTCTCACATGGGGTAGGTATGTTATTATTCTCATCTGATAAGACTTGTCCTGAGATTCAGAGTAGCTAAGTAATTTGCCCAAGGCTGCACAGGAGTGGGTGGCAGATCTGAATCCAGTTCTGTCTGATGTTTTCACTCGCCATGTCACATGGCCCCTCTGTGCTGCAGGAGGGTGTGGTGCCCACATTTTGTGCTTTCGACTCATTGGACAGGAAGGGCAGCCCCGGATGGCCCCTAAGCTGAGCAAAGAGCAGGGCCCGTGTGGAATTTCAGAGGAGATGGGATGCTGGGGAGGACCGGAGGGCCTGGGGAAGCACTGATGGTCCTGTGTCAAGGTTGTCCTGGGCATCTGAAGGGCTGCTGATGACATCAGGGGATACCCCCCTGCCCTCAGCCTCCTAATCCGGTAGTTTGTCACGTGTGGCTCCTGAAACTACAATAGCTATTGTGGGAATCTACTTCCCAAGGTCAATCTACTTCCCAAGGTTGAGGGCATTCCGGCACCTGGACCTTTGTCAGCGTGGATGAGAAACACCGGAACGGTTACTATAGCCAAGTGGGCTTAGGCTGTATCCTAGATGAAGCTTTACTGTGAGTCCATCAGTGCCAGAGCTGGGGGAGGTTCAAAAGTTAGCTGGCTTTGCCCCTAACACACCTTCCCTGCAGTATTCCCAAAGTGATAGGTCCACCTCTGTTAAAATGTTCAACTCCAGTGTGACAGTGGTCCTTAGGTAGGAAAAAAAGCAAAAAGCAACCTCAGCGCATATCCAGTCACCTCTGGATGCCTGCAAAGTGGCTTCTGCTGACCTTTCTTTACCTGCAGGTATGGTCTAGTCTCTGGCCCAGGGAGGGCAAGAATGTGCCTGGCAGCAGCCTGAGCATCCATGCTTCTGGCATCTTATCCCCAACGGCCCCCTCATCACAGTGACTTCAGACCAGTTTTCTTGAAAGAGATCCATGCATGAAGCAAACATTCATTAATCTCCTAAATAAGGGGGCCACACCTAATTAGCCCATACCTAAGAGTATGCCATCAGCACATATTCTTTGGTAGGAGAAATGTTAAATAAGAATAATAATACAAATTCCAGGTGTGTCAAATTAGAAAAAAAAGCATAGATCTCAAGAAAGAAATTAGTCTTCAGAGACAAGGGCTTAAAAGCAAAAGAAAATCCCAACCATCCACCCCTCAAATAGCACTTTATTGTAACCAGACATGCAACACCAGTGATGCCCCAACATTCTTCACATGTCCCTTGCCTCGGGACCCACCCTAGGAGATGGGAGACAAGAAATCACAGCATAATTTGCAGTCTGATTAGAAATAAGCAACCTTGACCACAGAAATGGAACCCAGCGCGAACCCTGCCTCCCCACATACCTTGGGATCTCTCCGGTGTGCCTCTGGAGCCTCAGCAGCACTGTCCTGCAGCAAAGCCTTCCGCCTATGTAGATGCTGCTGGGGGAGGCGGCCTTCCTGCTGCTCTCCAAATACGGCAGCCCTCCTCTCTGGGCAGGACCAATCAGGGGTTCCCAGGCACTCCTCTGCCTTGAGGAGAGACCTTCTCCTGACTCTTGACTAATAAACACCATGTGAAGATCTTGATGAAGTTCAGAAAGACTTAAGAGTTGTCTTTGATTTTATTTTCTCTTCTTTTATGTCTGGATGTATGCATTTACTTATTTACTATTAACCAGTTTATCACAAAGGTCATTACAAAGGAAGCAAATGAACAACCAGATGCAGAAGTACATAGGACAGGGTCTGGAGGGTTCCAACCATGGGAGTCCCCATGGAGTCTGGGGGCACCATATCCCCAAATGTCAATGAGTTCACCAACGTCGAAACTCTCCAAACCCCTCTGTCCCAGTAACTGGGGACACAAACCAAATATTCTAATAAAAGATAACTCCGATCACCCCATCACTCAGGAATTCACAAGGTTTTAGAAGCTCTGTGCCAGAAACTGGGGACGTTATGATGCCACAATGTCACAGCTGGACAGATGGATGTATGCATCTGTTCAGAGTCTGGTTAGGGTTGTTTTTAAGACTGGTATTTTGAGAGGAGCCTTGTAGAACTGAAAGGAGCAGTGTTAGATGGAAAACGCTTTCCCATCAGTATCCACAACAGAGGGTGTTGCTGGGTATATATGCCATCCTGCACCTGAAGACCAGCCTCAGGCAGCAAAGGGGCTTTTGCCTTGCAGCCTCTGTGGGAAGGGTCTGGTCAAGAAGAAAGTGTGAGAGCAGCTGGGCCACACGTCCTCTCCCAGCGGGGACCCCCAGAGAGCGAGGTACTGAACTTCCTTTGGGGAGGTGCAAAAGCAGGGTCCATGTTGGCTTGAGGGACACACAGGAGGCCTGGCCAGCATTTGAGGCTTTTTGCCATGCAGGAATGCCTGAGCCACTGAACGAGTCCAAGGCTAAAAAGTTAAGCGATATAGAAACCCACGGGACAGATGCAGATGGAGACGAAACCCGCCCTTCTCAAACATGTTGGGGCTGAGAGTGGGCTTCCTCGGAGTGGCAGGGTGAAGAGCTGGAGGGCCAGCCAGGGCATGGTTATTGGGTGACCATTCTTTGTACAGAAGGGACTTACCCAGGTGTCTCTGTTCCAGTTATTACTGCAGTGTGAAATCAGAAGTGAATTCTGGAGGAAAATACGGAGTGAGATTAGCCTGTAAAGGGAATATGATCTTTATTCTGAACGTGAACCAGCGATGTTGGCTGGATTCACTTCAAAGTCTTTTTGCGAACCACGCTGAAGTGGTTAGCTCTCAGAGTGACCAGCAGATGGCACTATGAGTTCACAAAGACCTCTCACCCTGGTGGGGTGGGGGGAAACCCCGCCGCCGAAACTAGCCCCTGCAGGGATTTGGGGTCTCTAGTGGGCCTTTCTTTCTCCTCTGCCTTTTCTTTTAAAACTTACTGCATTTCCCTTTTTTTTTTTTAAACTTTTTTCATTTTCTTCCTAGAATCAGAGACTTTTTGGTCTTGTGAACACACACACACACACACACACAGACACACTTTAGCAGTGCAAGCTCCCTGTAAACTGCAGAAGAAAAATGCAGAAGAAAAGAAACAAAAAAACAAAAACAAAAACAAAACCCCACCTAATATTTCTCTGTCCAGAGACAAGTGTCAGTACGAAGGTTTTATTTATAATTATTTTTAAAAGGTTTTATTTATTTATTCATGAGAGACACAGAGAGAGACAGAGACATAGGCAGGGGGAGAAGCAGGCTCTCTGCTGTGAGCCTGATGCAGGACGCGATCCCAGGATCCCAGGATCATGACCTGAGCCAAAGACAGATGCTCAAACACTGAGCCACCAGGGGTCCCTAGTACAAAGGTTAGAGTTGGGGGCATTTAGGGCTGGAAAGGGCTCAGAATTCTCTAGTTTAGCTTCTTTGCACTGTGAGGTCATGAAGCTAGATAGGCCCAAGGTCACTGAGCCAGGAGGGCAAAGCTGGCCCCCAGCGTGGGTCCATTGCCCTGTTCTGAACTCTGTGTACCATCTACTCTGCCGGTCCCCATCTGGTGTGAGCATCTCTAGGCCTCTCATTCTTCTTTCTATTTGCTTTCTGAGAAGGACTTTGCCCAGCAGGTGGTGGGAGGTTGGTTCAGAGCTGATGAGGCTGCAGATTCCTCTTGTCAGCGAACAAAGAGGCACAGAGGAGCATGGAAGGCTGTGGAAATGTTTGAGAAGATGGGAGGAGCTCTGAAAGCTGCAAACAAGGCAAGAAAACTGTTATCCAGATGCAAAACTGCCCCAATCCTGCCTGGTGCCTGCTCCCCACCTACAAAGATGAACAAACAAACAGCCAAGGAATTAGTGAGAGAGCATTAGTCTCTACATGAGCTGAGAGGCTAGGGCCAAGTGAATCATGTCTTCTGGCATCAACAACTATATGAGGAATATCAATGAATGTGGGTCGTCCTTGATTAAACAGGAAGAACAAGACTGACCCAACAGGGCTGGGTGCTCCATGATGCAAGGGACTCTAATGGGTTTCTCTAGAATGTATGAGCAGTAGAAAATTATGTGAATACAAAAAGAAAAAAAATGGCAAGGAAAGGCTGAGGTCTAGAATGCATGAGTGGGTCATTCTATCAGTTCCTAGTTTGATTACAGCTTGGGCCTTTAGAGAGCACTTATAAATACAGTGGTCATTAAGACCAAGATGCCATGCCCAACTGTACCCAGAGAGTTAGTGTGTGGCAAGATCACTCACTGTATCTTGGCTTCTTTAAGATTTATCAACTGTTATGTGTTTGGACTATGCTGTGCCAAAGGAGGGGCAGCATAAACCTAGCTAAGGCAGCTAAGGCAGCTCACGGCCTACTGGCAGAGAAATAATTGAAATGGAAAATAATCCATTAATATTTTGGAAAATAATACTTGTAAGATAGTTGTGTAGCTGTCTGAATAGCCATACTCGATTTCTTTCTTTTTATGAAGTCTACTATCCATATCATGAACGTATCCAAAGTGTACAGCATTATACATTTTTACAAACTGAACACACTCATGTAGCCTGCACCCAGAATAAGAAAATGAACAATGACAGTGTGCGCAAAGCGTCTCCCCGTTGGGTCACTGCCCTCTTGCCTGTGCTGACCATTGTCCTGACTCATTACACCCTCGATTAGTTTTGCCTTTTTTAATAATTCATATAAATAGAATTACATAGAACATAATTTATTGTGTCTGTCTTGCTCAATTTGGGCCTTGTAGATTCACCCACATTGTGTGTAGTTGTCAATGGTTCATTCCATTGTGAGACTACTCCACAATTTTCCTCTTCATTCCTTTCATGGTGAGCATTGGGCGGTTTCTGGTTTGAGCTCTCTTCCGAACAATGTTGTCACGAAGATTCTGACATGTGCTTCTTGGTGGAGTGTGATCACTTTTCTGTTGGATGTACACACTGAGGGGAGACTAGCTAGGTCGTAGAGTATGTTCAGCTTTCATATTCTTAAAATTTTGATCTTTGCACAAATTTTAAATGCCACCTTCCTCTATAGCTTGCCCATTCTTAGCAATGTCAGGAGTCTTCCTTTGGGGTCCCAGAGCAATTGATGCATAGCCAAATAGCCACGTGGGGCACCCTTGCTGTTCATATGTTCATTTGAGCTCACAGAAGCCAAAGGACCACGTCCCACTTGCCCCACACATAGCACAGTGCCTAGAATCTAGAAGCAACTAAATTCCCTTTATTCCTTCTTATCTGCAACTTGGTTGAGGATAGGACTTGATTGAGGACAGCTGCACATGGATCACAGCTGCCAAGGTGGGCTGTGTGCCAGAGGCAGGCTGAATACTCCAAATCGCAGCAGGTCATGGTATCTAGAGGCAGCAAGAGGAAAATTAACAGGCAATAGTTAAAGGCAACAGTTTTAGAATTGGTTTTTTAAAAATCAAGGGTAGCACGTGAAGACCTATCATGGCAGTGGTTGAAATTCCATTGGGGTACCATTGCCTAAAAGTGTAACAGGAAGGCCATGGAAGAAGCAAATGCTTCTCTAATCAAAGGGTCATTTACTCTGCAGTTCTCTGCCTTCCTCGCTCAGACCACAGTAGGTGCTGGGTGCTGAGCTTTGTGGAGCTGATTCAGGGCAGGGAGGTGGAATGATGCACGCAGGGAGAGGCGGTGACGGGAAGTGGTGCGTCAGGGTTGGGAGGTAGTGCATGAGGATGGGGAATCTTGTGGCATATCTGGGACTACTGAGGGCAGTTACTCATCTTGTGTCCCCAGATGTTCTTGGAATAGGATGTTTGTAAATGAGAAGAGAGCCATCAAAGCTCTAGAGCACAGGTAATGGGGTGAAGACTGTGTTTTAAGGTGGCCCAGAAAGGGGTGCCCTAGGAAAGGGAAGAAACTCCAGCTTGGAGACCCTAAGAAGGGCCCAGAGCACCAGCCTCAGCCACCATGTGGAAGTTCCTCACTTGGCCACCCACCACTTTTCTCACTTCTTTCTGATGTTTTTTTAGAAGAATAATTAACCGGATGATTTGATGTGCAATTTGTCCTCTCTGATATGCCGGAAAATGTTCAAAAGGAGAGAGGCCTGCCCCGGGGTGAGGTTTACCTGAAACAGGTGAAAGGTGCTAGCTATATTGTGGGGGCACCTTGGGTGGCACAGTGGTTGGGCATCTGCCTCTTATTTTCAGCTCAGGTCATGATCCCAGGGTTGTAGGACTGAGCCCTGAGTCCGGCTCTATGCTCATTATGGAGTCTGCTTAGGGACTGACTCCACTTTCCTCTACTCACTCTCTCTCTTTAAGATGGATAGAAAGATCAGAGAAAGGAAGAAACAAATAAAATAAAATAAAATAAAATAAAATAAAATAAAAAGAAGGGAAGAGGAAAGGAGTAGCTATTGTGTCCGAGTTGGGGCCCTTTTGTTACCCGGGGCGGCTTTCATTCTCAGGGGAAGCCCTGGAGATACTGCAAGGAGAAAGAG